TCGGCTCGCACTTGACTGGTTTTTTAGTTCACGATGGCACTCAATGAGAGGCAATTCGAAATCCAAGACAAATAACTACATTAACCACAAAATGTGCGTTAGGAAAACAAAACGAGCGCTTTGATAAATAACCATCTGCTGACACGATGAGTAATATTGTTGTGATGTGCCAACATAGAGGACGCCGCGACACTATGAGCAGACATATCTTGTATGTGCGCAAGTGACGCGGAGCCTGCGAGGGGCTGGAGGTCACACAAGCGACGCTAATGCTAACTTAATTATATAATGACAGCCGCTTGTTGACTTCTTCAGTAGCTATTACTGCGTTTTTATAAAATTATATTCTGACAAATTGTAGGTAAACATCAACTCTTTTGTCTGAAATGCTGATCAAGTATGTCCTCAAGGGCCACATTAACGCCTTTGTCCCAAGGTGTAGGCAGAAACTACAGAGCGTCCCGTCCCCGTCGCCACATACACCACATGAACCTACTTTTTCTGTATAAATGTGGGTAGACTTATCTACAATTTAAAGGAAACACTAAAACATGTTTAATTTTTTAGGCACGATAAAGCTGTTACTAAGTTGCTAATTGTTCAGTTATCACTTAGCAGTAACTCGTTAAAAATACATTATTCTGTTTACCTATCACTGGTCGAGCCACGTACGCAACGATTAGGTATGTGACTTTCCATTTAAACAACTATGTTACCTATAGTTAGTAAATAAAAGAAAAAAAAATGATAAAAACTTTTTTTATACTTTTTTTGGTGTTGACTATTTTCTTTTGTGCCTTACGCCTAAGTCATTCTGACTCAGTCCTGCATTAAATTCTCCGAGCGAAATGGAAACTATTTCGTATTTTTTTTTTTGTTCTCAAATCGAAATCAGAAGAAATTTTCCGATTTCGTTGTGGGATCAAAGACAATCATTTATGTCCCTGGGACACTCCCGACTTCCTTTTTTTTACAGGAGTTGCAGCGGTTGTGGAAGGTTGTGGCGAGCTTGTTCCATAAAAAATTTGTTTCCTCTTCGAAAACTACTTACTTAATTATTTGTTTAGCATCAGGTCATATAGTAATACTTGTACAAGTTCGTTGGAGCACTCGCTGTGTTATGGATGTATCTCCCCTGCCTACACTTGTACCTGCACTGCACTTGCAGGGCACTGACGTGGAATCAGTATTCATTACTCATTATTAGTCTAATTACTTTATCTGTTCCGTGAGTTAATTTTTACGAGCATTTGAATGCGAAGTCAGGTTTTTTGTCGTTTTTTTGGTTGGTGTTTGTTCGAAACTTTTCCATTGAATTGCTTATTTAGTATCCAGTGATAAACACACACCTATTGTACACCTAATGAGTATAGTTATCTAAAACTAAAGCTTCTACATATACTAGTTAAAATAAATAATCGTTTGCAGGTGTTATTTTACTTTTTTGGCGAAAAGTAATCCTTCAATATTCATAATTTCTTCTCTGACCCAGTGTGTTGCGAGAGGGAGTGTCAGACTCTAACCTATTAAAACCTTCGTGCTCCACGTCCTTTGAGGTGAGTGCTGATAGTACAGAGTCACAGTGGCAGCGCTACATTATGCGTCACCTGCAGTCACCTCACGTAGCGCTTAGCGCTGCCAGCGCTTGTAATGCGAGGCCATGTCCTGATTAAGGATATCTTGTATTGTTTCTCTGAGGGTTACAAACAATCATTTGGATCGAATATTAACACATTTAGCTGTGTGGTGTAACACTGACCAGCTGTTGATACATCTATGTATGATTTTGCTTCAAATCTAGTAATAACTTACCATCGCCCCTTTTATCTTATATATATATAAATGGATCGCAAAATATGTTGGTAAGCGCATAACTCAACAACGCCTGGACCAATTTTGCTAATTCTTTTTTTGTTGTATTTGTTATTGTCAGGAGAAGGTTCTTATGAAAGAAAATTTTCATCGTAAGCGAGATGATGAGACCCGTGCGAAGCAGGGGCGAGCTGCTAGTTGGTAATAACAATAAGATTAGATTGGACATACATAGATTGGTACATATTATTTCGCCCATTTTAATGTAGACAGGAGACAATTGTTCGCCAATTGCCACGATTTTGACACCTTTTTCACTTCTACATTCATCAATATCTTCACACATGCTCTTCGTTTGAGGAGGAATCAAATTTCATATTTTTTTTCAAAATATCGTCTATTGCCGTCTAGATCTAGAGCTAGATGAACCTCTTTCGTAGATCTTCTAGCATCCTACATTTCAATATGACCAAACCACATCAACATTCCTTTTAACAGTCGGTACACCTTTCACTTTATATTATCTCTGACTACCGTGTCTTTCTCCACAGCATAATTAACTCTACTTTTTATGCTTCTTCTAACCATCTCCATACATTAGTGCCGATCCTAAAACTACCCGCAAAATAGCAAGTCGAGGTACTTATTAGGCCATTTTTACTAGGCATGCAGGCCATGACGGGTGAAAGTAATAGCCAATCAGATTACAATCAATCAATCGGGCAATCGGATTACCTGATGGTAAGCAATCAGCGCCGGCCGTTACGTGGTTACGGCTATCCATACCCGTAACAGAGGAATTACGAGTGCGTTGCCAAATTTTAGGGATTAGGGAATTTGGGGATTGGGGAAGGGGAAGGATTGGGCATCCGGTAACTTCACTCACTCGGCGAAACACAACGCTTTCATAATATAGGTAATATTATTATTATGTTCGGGAATATTGTAGTAATGTATGTTATATTATGTAGATGCTACCATGTGCCATTCACTGACAACATTACTGTTGATTGTTGATAACTAATGTTTTGTTTGTTAACTTCCCGTTATTGCTTACCGTTCTCATCAAGTTAAGGTAATGATTTATTTTGTCACTTAATGATGTCAGTTTGACCTTTGAATATAGTTAGTGTTATTAGTGAGCAAGTGATGACTTGTAATATTTGAAACTATTTAAGTAAGTACTGGTACGACAGTGAATTAATGCTAGGTACTTACGTTGGCTGCAGGTTTTTAACGAATGAAATGTCATGGTGAGCTTAAGTTTAAGGTGACGTGGGTCCGAGATAATCTAGTACCCATGTGACTTTTCCCAAGTTAAAAATACTTTGTAAGATAATTTAGACACCACCGACAGAGGCTAAAGGAAACCATAACTAGTAAAACGAGACGTATTCGGTATCCGGCAGATTCCAACTAAGTTGCCAAATTAAATTAAATATTGAATAATCAGTAAAATTCAAATAGTTTTTTTTACGAATCTTGCATGATAATCGCTGCATTTACTATAATATTTTTACGCCAAAAAGCATCCATTAAAATTGCTAGTTAATATAAACAAAAAATCATCGTCATATCAATGAATGAAACTATAGTTTAACAATACAATTAACTTGAAAATCATTTATTTTTGAGCTAGAAAACTTCTCAATCTATAATTAATAAGTGTGAAATCGCTAATCAGCCTTGAGCAAGCCTGGTGATTAATGTTCATTAATCCTTTATGTGAGAAGAGGCCTTGCTCACCAGTAGGCACCAATAGTTTGGTGATGACGCCTGTAGGCTTTATTATAGCAATAACCTGCTTCGCAACACGTGCAACTTGTGTGCCAGGCGCTATATATCAGCGACTGTATGAAGTCATTGATATACCGCGCAGGCCCATGTTCTGTGTTAGTAAAGTAAAGTCAAGGGTCCGCTCGACCGATGTGAAACCACGGCCTCACAGAAAACCGGCGTGAAATAACCACAGCGTTGTGTTTTGTCGTGTAGGTAAGCGAGGTTACCGGAGGCCCACCACTCCCCTCCCCCAATCTCCAAGTCCCTAATCCGCAAAAGGTCGACACTGCACTCGTTTGTTGTTGCGAATGTCCATGGGCAGCGCTGATTGCTTAACATCAAGTAATCCGTCAAGGTTTGTTTGCCGAACTATCACATTAAAATAAAGCTCAGTGGAACTAAACAGTTACATATCACGGGTTCTCTTCTCTTGGCAAACATTATTTACAGTATTAGGTGTGAAATGCAAAAAATGTAGTAATAATACGAACCTGAAACTCTAGTAGCAGAACAGTCACTAGCGCGAGGCTGCGGGCGTTTTCGGGGTTCGTAACAATCGGGGCACAAAGTCGAATTAAAGAGCAAAGCACGGTCGCACCATATCTAAATAATTTGAGATAAAGGTGGTCATTTCAAAATGTTCGTAATCAATTCAAAATAATATGGGAACATAATATTATAATGAGTGAAGGAATGACGCCAGCAGACCAGTATGACGCGTTACAAGCATTACAATATTCACAATCCCATCAATCACCAACCCTAGTGTTGGACATATGTATCTATTACAGCATGTTCATCTGTTTATTTGGTTCTGGTAACAATACGTCGATAGAAACAAAACTGAAATCTGTTTAATTTTCTTAATATTGTTGTTTACAAATGTTCTGATACTTAGGTACTACATAAGTACTTATAACATAAACACGTTGTTAGAACTAGAAGAGACACGTGAATCATTCGGCAGCAGACAGTGACAGAGACAGTTCGCACAGCACACACAGTCTACATGTAGGTAGAATAAATATAAGGGTTTTTTAATTATAAATAGATACGGTAAACCTATTACATTCATGTACCAACATTAAAATGTTACAAACGCCTGCTCTGCTCAAAGAAAATGAATAATTTGTTTACAGAGCATACATAATATTATACGTAGGGTTTTGCGAGCGCCTCAAAGAGCCAATAGACCACCACAGACGGGGCCTTAAAGGACTGATGTTCAGCCGGAGTAGCGGGGTAAGCGCAATGAGGCACCGCGACCTCGGCACAGAGCAGGAGAAGGAACAGGGGGGTTTTTAGTCAGTAAGAGTCTGACACTCCCTCCCGCCCGGCCCTGGGCGGGAGAAGTCATTGGAAGATTTTCCCCTCACAAAAAAAAAAACAGAATGAATGTACGTACATAGGTAGACAATAATTTTAAATATTTTATTTCATCATTATTTTATTTCAGTCCATTTCTAGAACAAGTATTTACATTAAACTTAATCATGCGCAAAAGTATAAAACATGATTTACATACAAATTAAATATCGAGGGTAAGTAAACTTAAATACAAGTATCGCACCATTGTGTCGCAGCCGCCATCTTGCAAGAATGACTTTAGACAAAGGGCTAGCGGTACAAAATGATGTTTCTCGGGAACACTAACATCCTGATATATTTGAACCATCGACGACTTAATGATTCCAATAAACCTTTTTAATTCATAAAAGAGGAATCTACATGAAAAACATTATTTTTCTTTATAAATCTTAAACGTGAAAAGATGACATTTCGTATTGTGGCGCCCAACGTGGGATATTACAAATCCTATTTAATTTGTATAAGATTCACTGCCAACTTAATCTATATGTATAGCAAGTTTTTGTTAATAATAGGTTTTAAAATTCCACAAAACTGGAATATTTCCATAAAAAATAAACAGTTTCTTATTACATGTACTACAATGTTATTATAAAATAGGTACCTACCTACTTTAAAATGATTAGAAAACACATTATACAGGACATTATTGTAGATACCGGTACTCCGGTAGTAGTGCCGCGACCTGGTTAGCAATACGAGTACTTGACATTAAGCCGGGAGTGTCTCGTGCCCACCACTTCATTGTCCAGGTCGTACGAGTAGTTCCTGTAATACTCCCTGTACACGCCGTCTATACTGATGGTGTTGGTGACGTACGTCGCGCCGGGAATTGGGAGCTTGGCGAACATCTTGTTGTGAGTGTCCTCCACCACGGTACTGCACGCCAGGTTCGGAGTCGCGCCGACGGGCTCGAGGTCGCTGTGGTGCATCCAGTAGTAGCAGAAGGACGCACGGAACCCGTCTGTAGAATTGTCTAGATTCGATTGGAACATGCACGGGAGGGGGTACTTCGCCTTCGTGGACACGATGCGTAAGCCACTAATCTTGTACGTGTCCGGCTTCATCGGCATCGGGCCGCATCGCACCAGTTTCAGAGTCGGGTGCACGGCCAGTATACGCAGCTGTTCGGCAGTCAGTGCCACCTCCACGCTAAGGCAGCGTATTTGCAACAACGCGCTAGCGAGCACTATCACCGCCTTCGCGGAAATGTGACACCTCCACAGCTCCAGTTCTTTCAGGCGAGGTGCTTGGGCGGGAAGTAGCTGGGCGTGTTCTTCTGCAAAGCTTGTACCGCTCAGAGCGAGGTCGGTGAGGCCAGGTGGGAGCGTCGCCAGCATGGCTGCTAGTCCCACTGGTGTCAGACTACGGGCACCAGTCACATGCAGGCGTGTGAGGCCCCGCGGCCGGGTTAGGTGCACGGCACCCGCGCCCGTCAAGTATCGGCACGAGTACAGCTGCAGCGACGTCAGGTTGGGGCAGGTCACGACGGTCTCGTACGCAGGATTGTGCAGCTCACTACAGCGCAGCGTCAGCTCACGTAGGTCTGTCGCGTTGATGAGTCGCAGCATACCACGGAGTGGATAGTTGCGGACCAGCAGATAGCCATGCAAGTGCAACGCTTTAAGGCGGCCTTGGGTTGCCAACTCCACTAGTACTTTTGAGTGCACGACGTTGTTCAACACCAGCGTGTCCAGCCGTAGTAGGAGGGGGAGCATTTCTGAACCAAGCTTGTAAGAAGGGAACACATCGAGGTGGCGGAGACATCGCAGGCCGTTCAATGTGCTCATCAGGTAGGGGTCCAGCGGCACGTCCACTCCTAAAGACAATTCGACCAACATGGGGGCCTGCCGCACTATGTCGCCAATGAGGTCGAAGAGCGGCAAGAATGGGGGCAGTTCGCTGCGGATATCAGGCAGCACTACGTAGAGCGCGCGCAACGAGTGGCGCAAGAGCTGCACGTGTCGCGAGCCGCGCACCACTAGCGCGCGCCGCACGACCAGCGCGTTCCAGCGCTTACTCACCAGCGCGCAGGACCGCAGCAGCTCCAGTGGCCGCAGGAACCAGAAGATCTGGTCCAGCACTATGTCAGGTAAACACTCGATGGAGCTCATTGCGTTTCTTTAATCACTTGACCTCTACTGATGTCTTTTACTACCTGTTATGACACTATCAGGTACTATTTTTACAAAGGAAAACGTACATGGAAAATAAATGAAACTAATATTTTGATATATCCTACATGAATGGAAATTGATAAATCATCTGCAAGTGACGCCGGCCGACTGTGATTAAACAGTGGGGCGCGACGAGTCGTTCAAGGACGATCGCGTTTCAGGTATTGCGTTTTATCTATGTAAGCATAAAAATGCTAATTGTTGGCGCCTTACAAGAACATTATCATTTTAATCAAAAGTATTAATAAGCGTGCTACGTCTATTTTCTATTACACATATCAATTCAATGTATAAAAAAAAACAATCCCATGGCCACGACCCTGTAATAAATATTTTCGCAATGTGTGGAATGCTGGTGGTTTGGAGGTGACTTAACACTTTACTACAGTAGGTAACTACATAGGTTTTAGCTATGTATCATTATTTTAAAAAACCTAGGTAGGGAAAGAGTTGATAAGTATTAATATTTTTTAAATTTTAGGTATTTTCACCTGATTGCGAACTTCTATATTTGTAAACTAAAGCTGGGTACCCACTTAATTCATGAGCTTGGTGTTCTTGATTTTAAATGAACGGTACGTGACGATTGATCTTAGTGTTTCATCGGACCTATAGTACAGACCCGAGTGTAGCCCTTTAGAATGTTAGTTAACTTGGAGCAAGCCAATCAGAGCGCCGAAGGGCATTACGTGTTGCTCGCTTCCTGAAACGTAAAGCATTCGGACTAGGCATCCTGCTCTTTAGAGATGTGCAATAAAACTTTTTAGATTTTTAGGTACTGTTAATGGCAATATAAAAACACCAAATATAAACACACAAAACGTTACGTCAATTGTGTTCATGACATTTGTCAATTTGACACTTGACAGTTGGATCGGCTGGTGGCACTAACTGGTATTTTTTATTATAATTAAACAGCTCAGCTTTTAGCAGTGTTTATTTATTTACAATTTGTAGGTCATTACTTGTAGAAAAATGCGTTTGTTAACGTTTAGTTTTATAAAATCTTGCAAATACAGAAAGTTATACAGTAACTTTCCTCGAAGAATCAGCGGTTTTGCGCAGCCCGACGTAATGCCAGTAACAGGTTAGTTTGTTTTGATTTTTTATAGTTTTTATTTTACTTCTATTAAATTAGAAAGTTATAGTACTAAACAAGAGTTTATATTTTTCTGTAGTTGAACATTATTGTTATACATCGTTTTGAAGTATTAGTAAATATTTAGTTGTTAGTAAAGCAATGAAGGTAATCACTCAAACCTTGAAGGCACAAAGCCTGCAGCAATACCACTGCCCAGTCGTCAAATACCACAAATATTTTATTATCAACAAAGTGCTACTTAATAGACATACTGCTTTTACCCTGACTGTTACACATGCATGCTGTGCTAGTGGGGTTACATGGATCCCAATTTTCCATTTTGAGACTCAAGACTGCCTGGTAAGGTCTCTAATGAAAGACCAGGTGTTAAGTATGCATTAATAGTAATGAGTCAGAATTTACTGCATTGCCTTGGGCTTTATTTGTTGGTGTTTATCTAACCGGTTAGTGCAATGTGTTTGATTCCCGCACTGAAGAGGTCTGGGTGGCATCAACAAAATTATATTACTTCTTATTACATTAAACTATAAGAATTAAATTAGAGCTCTTTGTAGGTGATCCAAATTTGGTAGACATTAGTCCATCATGGAAAGAGGAGGAGGAGCCTGAGCTCCGGAGGGCTGTGCTTGCTGACATGCAGGTGTACCCTGACTTCATCTCAGAGAAGGAAGAGAATGCTCTACTGCTAGAGCTGGAGCCTGTTTTGCGACGCATGAGATATGAGTTTGACCACTGGGACAATGTTAGTATTGAGTGTTATAATGTCAAGTGCCTGGTAGGAAACACATCAGTTGTCTGAAGGTCTGCCATTATAACTGCAGGCAATCCAAGGTTTCCGTGAGACGGAGCGCAGGGACTGGTCCTCAGAGAGCTCGGTAGTCCTGTCCCGCGTGAAGGCGCTGGCGTTTCCGCCGGGCGCGGGCCCCGCCCTGCCACACGTACACGTGCTCGACCTCGCCGCCGCCGGACACATCAAGCCCCACGTCGACGCCGTGCGGGTACTGGGTGCTTTATACATACCATTCTGCAGTTTGTTTCACACATTTGTTACAGTAGTAACATGACCTTCAATAATTCCACATAGAATGCTCAACATACATATACATACCAGTTTGATGTAACTAAAAACAAGAATGATTATGTTTACTGTTCTTTTAAAATAATGTTATGATTTTCATGTACCAGTTCTGTGGCGACGTGATAGCGGGGCTGTGCCTGGTCTCCAGTGCAGTGATGCATCTTGTGCACAGTGAGAAGAACCACCTCCAGCTACACGCACTGCTGGCTCGTCGCGCTCTCTATATCATGAAGTATGTGTTATCATTCTTTTGATGTTGCAAATTTGAATTTTGTACCTTCAAAAACTACTCATATAGCCAGCAAGGTATTGACACTACTACACGTCTATATGCAGCGCCGATTGCTTACCTAATGCGTCTGATTGATGTCAGAGTATACAAAATAAAATGTTAACACTCGCTCGCACGCACTGGCGGTGAGGTTAAGCTATTATGATCATTGTTTTCACAGAGTTTAGATAATGTATTTGTGATTTTCGAGTTGGTCAACGCTACGGTATGGAACTATAGCTAATCAACAATGCATAAAGTGTAAGTGTGTCGGCAGTAACAGTAGCAATAATGGTCCCCCAGGGGCGCGGCGCGGTACTCGTTCACGCACGCGGTGCTGGGCGGCGAGCACAGCGCGTGGCGCGGCCAGCCCGTGCCGCGCGCGCGCCGCGTCGCGCTCATCGTGCGCAGCGCGCCGCCGCCGCGCCGGGACACCGACGCGGACCACTGACCGCGCACACAAACTTCACCCACTGACGTTTCCTCCTACATGACTGCCAGCCTTGCACTTTTTGTGCTAGCTGGCTCTATTTATAAATATTTTTCAGTTTAGTTTTTTCGTATTATTACTCTCAATACTTTCGTCACAGTCCACTAGTGTCAGAATACCCGGACCTGTGAAGTGATGCTCGTACTTCGTTATTGAGAGGATATTTGATTTGATTTTCCTAAACTTACAACAGTTGTTACACATTGTACGACTGTGTTGACTAGACATAGTAACTAGTCACTGACTTACCAATTAAAATTGTGATATTATTATAAATGCTAGATGTACTTAGTTGAATTTATTTTCCCAACATATTGAAATATACCCTGTTGTTGATAATAAAGTATTATTGTTGAATATATTGCCCGATTATTATTTGTATACATATATATTCCTAACTACGCGCAGGTTCACCCGCTGCTCTGCTCCTATAGATCACAGCGTGATGTTTTATAGCCAATAGCTTCCTCGATAAATTGACTAACAAACAAAAAAAAAAAAGAATTGTTCAATTTAAACCAATACTTCCGGAGATTTATAATGTAGGCTACCTGAAACAGGATGACATTAGCTATATCTCAAATACCTATGTCTGACACGTGACTACTCATATTTACCACCACCCTATTTAATGTTCAATACCCTTACAGTATGGGTAACTTGTATCACAATGATCCCCAAACATCCACGAGGTTGCCCCTCTCGATTTTTTGGTGGGGTAATTGGTATAGCACTTCTTTTGGCGTGCGTTCGTGCAGCGGAATGTTGTTGAATTTAAAGATTTTAATTATGCAGATATTTAGTGTATGACGTCGTATAATTGTGTATGGTAAAAAAAAATTGTGCACGCAACCATTGTGGAGAAATTCACCAAGAACTGATTCCGCTGGGCGAACGTTGTCCTGGCGGAACTTTTTTTAATCCATAGACTTTAGAAGAAAAGAGATGTATCCAAAAATTAGTGTGTATTTGTGTGTAATTGTGTATGTATGAATAAAACTAGTGCATGCATAAACTTCGGAGAAATTCAAGTTTCCGCTGCGCGAACGTTTGGCCATTAGCTAGTTTTCATATAAAGCGCTTACATAGAGAGCTGTAGATTTTTACATACGTTGTTTTGAATTTGTTTATATTTGTTTAAAAAACAGATTTAGAAAAATCGTAGGGTTTAAAAGATAAAAATATAAACGTAAAATACGCTTATTAGGTCTTAGTTCTTAAGTATGCACTTTGGGGTCTAGATTTTCACGTTGATACAAACCTTGTAAGTGTCTGCAACATGTTGCCAAGTATCAATGATGTTCCGTTAGTAATTAAATAGTTATAGGACAAATTTACCATGAATAGATCACTGTTTACAAAGCAGTCAAATATCACGACTTTCTAAATGAATTGCATGGTAAAATGTATGCCAATAATTAGTGTATTCATTCAACTATTCACATGCAAAATTTCATGTCATTAAATTCAGTAATTAAAGAAAAACAATTAAAATACTGACGAAGCATCGAAAACCTACATAACCCGACCAAGTTCGGATGGCTACAAAAAAGCGGCTGTGCAATATATTTAGGTAACATCCCAAAATTTACAGTATAATACCGGCATTGAATTGGTACAGGTGATAACACACTTGTTATCTCGAAATAATTTATAGGTCATTTCTTTTTTAAATGTATTTGACTATGACAGAAAGTAGGTACTATTTACGTAGGTACTTTATTTAAGTATGCGCTTGAGACTTGAGATATAATCCAATTATATTTAAGACAAATAAAATTCATACAGCTAATTTCTATTGAAGATTTCACGGATCAGGATTCTAACTATAGACCCCTTAGGGAAATTAAATATTTACCACATGTAAGTATGTACTACTGTTTAGGTAAATATTTATCATATTGTAGCTTATTACACTATTTAACCAATATTTTTTATTACACTATTTAAACAATAGACTAGGCATGCACGAGCGTGTGTACGATACTGTGTTTTATTTTTTCCTAACGCTTGTGTACGATACTGTACCATATTAATAAATGTTATATTGGAAAGTTAAGAACGTTTCTTAGATATATGGCACGGCCGCTTTTTTGTAGCCATCCGAACTTGGTCGGGTTATGTAGGTTTTCGATGCTTCGTCAGTATTTTAATTTTCTTTAATTACTGAATTTAATGACATGAAATTTTGCATGTGAATAGTTGAATGAATACACTAATTATTGGCATACATTTTACCATGCAATTCATTTAGAAAGTCGTGATATTTGACTGCTTTGTAAACAGCGATCTATTCATGGTAAATTTGTCCTATAACTATTTAATTACTAACGGAACATCATTGATACTTGCCAACATGTTGCAGACACTTACAAGGTTTGTATCAACGTGAAAATCTAGACCCCAAAGTGCATACTTTAAGAACTAAGACCTAATAAGCGTATTTTACGTTTATATTTTTATCTTTTAAACCCTACGATTTTTTCTAAATCTGTTTTTTAAACAAATATAAACAAATTCAAAACAACGTATGTAAAAATCTACAGCTCTCTATGTAAGCGCTTTATATGAAAACTAGCTAATGGCCAAACGTTCGCGCAGCGGAAACTTGAATTTCTCCGAAGTTTATGCATGCACTAGTTTTATTCATACATACACAATTACACACAAATACACACTAATTTTTGGATACATCTCTTTTCTTCTAAAGTCTATGGATTAAAAAAAGTTCCGCCAGGACAACATTCGCCCAGCGGAATCAGTTTTTGGTGAATTTCTCCACAATGGTTGCGTGCACAAATTTTTTTTTACCATACACAATTATACGACGTCATACACTAAATATCTGCATAATTAAGATCTTTAAATTCAACAACATTCCGCTGCACGAACGCACGCCTTCTTTTGTTTTTGTTATGTATTTCATTTTCTAGAACATTTCAACTTGACCGACCTCTTTTATTTCTTTCGCTGCTCCCATGTTGCAAAGAAGGCAGGACGAATACCAGTTCTTCAATCTTTTTTAGGTAGGTAGGTAGGTACATTTGAATTAATTGCTTTGCATTTTTTATATATTTTACACGCATTTATGACTTCTAGGTCTATAATGTCATCTAGACAATCACTGTTCGATAAGTAGAAACTGATTAAAATTTAGGATTTAGTTCATCAATTATTTGGGCGTATTAAATGGCGAACATGGCCTGAATCGCCTATTATTAGGTATTAAAGTGTATTTTTTTTAAATGTCATACCTGTAAAAATTCTTACGTTTTAATATTAGTAATGTTAGGAAAATGTTGGACAGACATATCAATCATATAGGAGAAGGAACGGGGGGGGGGTTTTAGTAAGAGTCTGACACTCCGTCCCGCCCGGCCCTGGGCGGGAGAAGTCATTTGATGATTTTCCCCTCACAAAAAAAAATCAGTTTAAATATTAATTTTGTCACTTCTTACAATGTTACAAATACTACAATACTAATATTACAATACTATTGTCGAAGACTTCACTGAGGAAAAAACTAATCGTTATTTTGAAATGACATTTGACAGCTGAAATTGACGTACGATCTTTTTTTTTTTCGTTGGAACATCAGAAGTTAGTACTACTATCCAAACTAATATTATAAATGCAAAAGTAACTCTGTCTGTCAGTCTTCACGCCAAAACTACTGATACTATTTGTGTGAAATTTGGTACAGACATAGTTTGAAATTCGAGAAATGACATAGGCTAGTTTTTAAACCAAAAATGGGCAGGAAGTCGCTATTGCACGTGAATAAAGTCGCGGGTAAAAGCTAGTGCACAATAAATACGAAACCAGTGTTCTGTACAAGAAAAAGATGATTTGGTTGATGTACTTATTTCGAATTCTATTAATGAAACAAGTTTTTAGTAATTTATTTAAAGTCTTTTACAAACGATACATTTTTATTTATGAACTGTTCTGCTCACTTATGGATGCCTCAGTCACTGAAATTAGAAGTTACTTATAGTAGTATATTTAGATAGGTAAATACAATAGTAATGTGGATAATGCACGAAGTGTTATTGCAAGTCCTCGAGGTCGGGTTTGTGGTCGTAGTCGTTGTCGCGGTACTGCATGTCCTCGAGCTCCTCCACCTCGAGGTACTCGACTTCGCCTTCCATATCTTCGCCCTCTTGCCACTCGCCGCCCTCCTCCTGCGATAAAAAATGCAATCATTTGTGAGGAATCGTATAATATAAAATGATTTGTACTGAGTGGGGGGAAGACAGGGCAGCAAGTTACCTCAACATGCTCGCGCTGTAGTACGGCGGGGCGGTGAACGCGGGCGTGACGCTTCATTGCCGCCACTGATCCGAACCTGAAAAGCATAAATAAAACGTGGGAAAATGGTCTTCGTATCGAGGAATGTCATCAGTATTAGTTTAGCATGACGGAGGTACTGACGTGCGGCCGCAGTGGTCGCAGGCGGTGGAGGGCGCGGCGCCGGCGGCCCCCGCGGCGGGCGGCGGCGGCGGCGGCGGCGGCAGGTCGGCCGCGTGGCACTTGCGGATGTGCGCCATGAGGTTGGCGCGCGAGCCGAAGCGCAGGATGCAGGCGTCGTACCCGCAGACGAGGTGGCGCGCCGCGCGGTGACGCAGCGCGTGCGCCGCCAGCAGCTCGCGCGACTCCAGCGTGCGGAAGCACACGGCGCACACCAGGGGCGGCGCCGCGCCCCGACCGTGCCGCGCCGACACGTGCGCGCTCAGCGCCGCGCGGTCCGCCGCGCGCAGCCCGCACGCCGGGCAGGCGGCGGGCGCGGCGCCGGCGGGCGCGGCGGGCCCGCAGGCGGCCGCGTGCGCGCGCAGGGCGGCGCGCGTGGCGAGCTGGGCGCCGCACGTCCAGCACGAGTGCGGCGCGCCGCCGTGCTCCGCGCAGTGCGCACGGAACTCCGCCACGCGCTGCCGCACAACATATTCCAAATTCAAAATAGGAAATTGTTTGATTTTTATTTCTGTTTCGTGCTAACCAATGATGTATAAAACTATAGATACGTTGTCCGCGCTCTAAAATGGCAACATGAAATGAAGGCAATTGACAACATCGCGCTTAGTTACGCACCAACCTGCCGCGCGACGCTACGTTTGTTTTTAATTTATATCGTGTGTGTAAACCTGTGCGAAACATAAAGAAAGCATGTCGTCGTGTGTGTTCAGACGATGTACAAATTATACTCCAAAAGTTAAAGACAAAAATGTGTCATTTCATGCGTAAGTTCACCAAACAACCTATTTTTATTTTATTTTTTTCGATGCCGGCGCCCGCCATCTTACGGCGACCGGCACATGAAGGTATAGTCACGTGCCGTCGGCATAACTGAAGATGTATATTTATCTCCCTCTAGCAAAGGCATTCCACTATACGATGTCATATTTTCTTTCCCTTTCTTTACTCGTAGAAGTAGTTATCTAGTATTGTCGCCGTTTTTAAGCCCCGCGATGTTGGTTCATGACGTGTCTATATATAATACGTCATTGGTGCTAACAGACAAATTGTATAAAATTCGATACCTTTTAAATATTAACTACAAAAATGTTATAATGCAACACAAGCTGCGAAAAAATTTGCGATGTTTATAGACCTAGTCGAGCGTCTGTGAGAGTAGCACAATTTTGGTTTAAACGTTATCAATCCGAATATTTTGATGCCGAAAATGCACGACTAAAACGAATGACATTTTTGAGAAAGTAACACCTGAAAACCCACTTCAACGTTGTCATTGAAAATTTGAATGTTTAACATTAACATGGGAATACATATTAGAGGCGAATCGGTAGTAGGTAAGGCCACATGCATTTGAAAATAGAGAAAATAGGGAATCATAGGGAGCAAAATAATACTCGTTAACTTCCTGGAAAAAATAGAGCTGATCTTGATAAACTCCTTTTATAAAAAACTATGTCTACAGAAGTAGACCTGAGGGGCCCCGACGCTATAAATATAATATACGCGATAGACTTCATTATGAGGAATATTATTAGAGATGTCTCAGTAATCACTAGGTTTAATACCGATAAGTACGAGGTACTCTAAATAATAAAATATACGAGTCTACGCTCCGACCAAACTTGCTCCAAACTTTGCCTAAATTTGAAACATTTCAGATAAAACTGGAAAACCAATTTGGTGCCTTGAAAACTACAAAATAAATAACTCTGATACCAACCAGGAACTTGACACTGTCAAGTTCCTGGTTGGTGTCCAAATAGCAAAGTGTCAAGTTGACACTTTACTATTTGGATTAGCGCAGAGGCGGAATCCAAGCTTTCGTGAGATTATCTGCAGATAATGGAGAAGCGACGTAAAAACCGTAAAACGTGACAATGCGCCATTTCCCGCGTTTTGAAAGAAGCGATTGAACAAAATCGAGGGTAAAAAATCGTCCAACGTAGTAGCAACAGGGTCGAAGCTATCTGTAGAATATCATCTCTCCTTAGCAGGAGATTCTCGCTAAAATGACTTCGCTCCCACCCCGGGCGGGGGTAGGGGCATTAATGGACCACATACATACAGGGCGACAGAATATACAGAAAACTGAAGACAATAATCAGAATCTACCCTTATGCCTGGCGTTTGTTGAGTACAAAAAACCTTTGACTCTATCAAAACCTGGGCTCTTCTTCATCCTTGCAACAGTGCCAAGTCGACTTTTACCCATGGCTTTGTCCTCAATGGAAAATTTTCCAAATTCCTAATCATACCTAGGTTAGGTACAATACGGCTGACATATCTTGGTGAGTCCGAAGTTCTGAAGTTAGCCATTTGTCTGGATGGATGGATTGCAATGGATCTTTTAGGAACAAAATTGTGTACTGCGCAGCTAATCGGTTAACTTCAGACTTTCACATTAATAAGTTGGAATAATGTGTCACAAATACCTGAAATGACAAAGGACACACAGAGCACTGATAGACAGACTCTCCGCATGCATTGCGTGCTCGCTCCAGGTCTTCATCGTCAGCTGCAGCCGCAGCAGCCAATGTGTCTCGCTCCACCATGATGATGTCCTCCTCTGAGTATGCTCCTCCTGGCCCTGCACCCCCCACTACAATAAACACGTCAATTTTCTGTGTCAGCTCATGCAACCTGAAAACATAAAGATAAGAATTGCAATAATATGCATTTGAATGGTACACAATTGTGTATCTGTAGATTGTAAATGTATATGTATAAAATATATATTATCATTAGCTACCTTCTCCGCAGGGCTCTAATTTTCTCGCTAAGCGGCGGAACTCCTCTCGAAGACAACGCAGTGCTGAAGTCATATGACTCTATGGTACGCCGGATGCAACTACCACACAGTCTACCTTCTGGTACCACCTAACATACCAAAACAAATGTTTAAAGTATTCTAGTTTTCAACAAAATTTTGTTTATAGTGTGTAGGTTAGGAAACTGCTTTGCTTAGCATTACACTCGATTTTTGTATAATGTTTACGTACCTTACTGGAGTTGAGGTGCACTAGCATGGTGCGCAGTGGCACCTGCATGGGAGGAGCTCCCGCATCGTGTTCTTCTGGAGACAGCAGCTCGCCGCCGCCGCCACATACGCAACAAGTCTCTACTTCCATCTCCACTTTCATCACTTCTGTGGCCATGGTTAAATTTTCGAAATTTGTTCCTATCTTTAACACTTGAGACTACGTTCTATTTAAGTGTATTTGTTTTATAAGACAATACGCGAATAAATGCCTCTTTTTTAGTGGCATAAATAGCGGCTTTGATAATTAGTAAAATTCCCACCAAACACCAAAGGGATTTGACGTTTCAGTTTGTTTTCAATTTCAATTTGACATTTGTTTGAACCACAGACAGACCTACAATAATACTACAATAATACTTAATCGATGGTTTAAACAGATATAGTAGAATCGCGAGCATAGAATATAATATATGTCTTTTGAGGCAAGCAAGACTTGGATTTAGTTCGGTGCAGCAGGATTAAAGCTTGCAGGGCTTGGATCCCCGATTTTAACGCTACCACTCTTATTGCTCTCAATATAATACACTACCGCGCCCGGAGGGCGCGCGGTGGAGGGGGGGCCTCCGCGCGCCGTCCATTTGGCATGATTTGGATATTAAACCTGTTTCGTAAATTATTAAAAATATTGAGTCAGCATGTCCAAAACTTAAACATTATTCGTTTTAAATATTTAGATGTAAGTAGATGAAATATTGGGATGAATTTAGTAACCTGACTCAGTTAATACTATTTTTTTTATAGTCTGCGATTTCATTAACTCTACAACCTTGTACCAAAGAGTATAATCTGTTGGGGAACTATACTCTACCTACTGTCTATGCTTTAAGTCAATTTGTTTTGTTTGGTTGTATCTTTGTGAATATTTGTGTGAAAATTGTGACATTAAATCCATTTTAATCCTGAGAAATAATAATATTTTGTAGTTTCATTTAAGTGTTTGTGTAATTACATATTTCAATATGTCTATCGGTGTTCCTATTAAAGTACTTCACGAAGCTGAGGGTCATGTAGTAACTTGTGAAACGAATACCGGCGAAGTTTATCGCGGGAAGCTAATTGAAGCCGAGGATAATATGAACTGCCAGATGACGCTGGTTACCGTAACTTACAGGGATGGACGTGTCGCCCAGCTTGAGAATGTGTACATTAGGGGCTCAAAAATTAGATTTCTGATATTACCAGACATGTTAAAGAATGCGCCTATGTTTAAACGACAAGGAAATAAGCCAACTGCTGGGCGCGGCAAAAGTGCGATATTACGGGCACAAGGTTAGTAAGCTGGTTTATGGCTCTCAACTTTAATACTTAGCTCTTCTTTACGACTATTGTTTTGTAAACGTTGTGTTATCAGTTTATCACGTAACCCCCGTCTACATTATCAGAACAACTACACAGATAGTATAGGATTGTGTAGCTGCTGCATTAGGACAACATTAAAATAATTTTAAGGCTTGCTGTGTACATATTAGGTTACAGTATACCTTAATATGGTCCAAACTGGCTTCATACAGAGCTCATCGCCCAAGAATACCCACTAACCTTTTTCCCTTGCAGCAATTTTGCTTAATTAATAGATATAAAGACTGCCATGTAAATTAGTAGAGTAATGTAGAATCCTTTTAATCGTTATGCCAAAAGTGTACAAAAATCTCTTAAACAAGCAAATATAAATAACCATGGCATGTCAGTTGGATAGTGATGTATCCACCTCTCTTAATCAAATCAAATCAAATCAAATTCTTTATTTCAAATAGACCAAAAAAGGCACTTTTGAACGTCAAGCAAAAAAGATATCATAAGGTTTAACTTTATGTGTCAGTCTGTCCGTCTGTCCTCTAGTGAAGCTATTTGCTCGTTCCAAAGTGTAGATTCCTATGGAGAAGAACGAGCAAGAAACTCCATGGTTACTCTTTTTCAATCACTTTTTACAATGCATTGTTACATAATTTAGATAGTTCCATTATGTGAGAACAGTGTAACACTAGTGTTTAACCAAAGTATCCGAAAAAGAAATAACCCTCAGGGACAGCAACTTTAGACAGTCTCGAGTTGACCAGTCCCAATAGGCGGCGTCCGTTCACGAACATGACACGTACACCAGCACCGCCCAACTCAACCATATTATAGGGAACCGAGCGGCCCAGTGCCCGTGCCACCGCCAATGAGACTCCTGAGTGAGCATGACAACTCCCAACTGACACAAGTACCAATATACTATAAGTCTAACTCAATTATAATAAGTTACAGGGCTCTCACATTTACAAAAATCCAGTTTATCAACAATTAACAACATGGTAAATAATTTAATAATTGAGATCAAAATTCCTCTTAACCTTAACAATTTTTATCCTGTGCAGTCAAACCAGCCACCCTCCAAGCATTTTTATCTTCTATATAATCATTTAGTTTGTAGTATGCTTTCCTACATAATACTTTCTTTATACATAATTTAAATTTACTTTCATTAAGATTTTGTATTTCAGTTGGGATTTTATTATAACATTTAACACATAATCCCATGAACGACTTATGCACTTTTGCTAATCTAAATAAAGGCTGACTTAATCTATTTCTATGTCTAGTAGGATAGTCATGCTTGTCAGATACTTTTACAAATAGCTGTAGGTTTTTCCTAACATACATAATGTTTTCATAAATATATTGACATGGTACGGTCATAATGTTGATCTCCTTAAACTTTTCTCTGAGAGATTCGCGACGACCTAAGTTATAGATAGCTCTGACTGCATGCTTTTGTAAGATAAAGATAGACTCAACGTCGGATGCCTGTCCCCACAACAGAATTCCATACGACATGATGCTGTGAAAGTAGCTAAAGTACACTAGTCGTGCCGTGCCTACATCGGTTAGCTGACGGATCTTCCAGACAGCATAAGCTGCCGAGCTCAACCGCCCTGCTAGAGATCTAATGTGGGGCCCCCATTGCAGCTTGTCGTCTACAGTAATCCCCAAGAATGTGGTCTCCTTTACAAATTCCAGTTTCTGACCATTTAATAATATATCATCGCATACGTTACTTTTAACATTTGGCAAAATAAATCTAATGCATTTTGTCTTTTTATCATTAAGTACTAAGTTGTTTTTTGTGAACCAATTATGAACTTTCATTAAGGCATTATTCACTTCGTCATAGTTATTTGATCGTCTATTTAATTTAAAAATCAAGGATGTGTCATCAGCGAATAATACCATATGCGGTTCACTTTGGAATAAATGGGGCAGGTCATTGACATAAACCAAAAATAGGAATGGACCCAATATTGAGCCCTGCGGTACGCCCATAGATACGCTAGCACCCCGGGAGTTTACTCTGTTTACTTGTACTGTAAGGAGTCTTTCTAGAAGGTATGATTTTAATAAATTTAGGGATACCCCCCGAATGCCGTAGTGTTGCAGCTTCAGTAATAGTGTTTCGTGCTCAACACAGTCAAAAGCCTTCGAAAGATCGCAAAATATTCCGATGGCATCCTGTGCTTTTTCCCACGATTTGAAAACTTGTTTTATAAGCGATACTCCTGCGTCCGTAGTGCAACGTCCCTTAGTGAACCCGTATTGTTGGTCATGGAAAATAGAATTCGCGTTAAAATGACGCAGTATTTGAGTAAGTATCAACTTTTCAAACACTTTACTGAGCACTGGCAAAATAGAGACCGGCCTATAGTTATTGCGTTCTGTGCTATCACCTGATTTAAGTAATGGAACTACTTTGCTATGTTTCATTAAATCCGGGAAAACCCCTTGATCTACACTTTTATTAAAAATTAAAGTTAAGTAAGGCGCTATAGTCTCTATAAAAGACCTGCACACTCTAACAGACATTCCCCAGAGATCTTCACTGGACTTTACTTTGATATCTTTAAACGCCTTTATTACTGCCTGGGGGTTTGTATGTTTAAACCTAAAGTCCGCAGGACATTCTTTGACGTTACTTCTGAGAAGCTCGACCGCAAGTGCTGGAGATGATTGCAACGTTTCCGTAGTTTTAAGAGGAATATTTTTAAAGAAATTTTCGAATTCCTGGGCAACTAATGAATTTGTACTAGTAAATCCCTTTTCGGTTTTTAAATTAAATTTTGTCTTATTAGATTTGTTTCTACCTGTTTCATTATTAATTATACTCCAGGTAGCTTTTATTTTATTTTCCGCGGTCCGGATTTTACTGCTAATATAGAGTGATTTAGCATGCTTACAAACTAATTTAAATATTTTTGAATATTTGGAGACATGCCTATGAAAAGCCTCACTTTTATTAAATGGTTTCATGCCATATAGCTCAAATAACTTTTCTCTACTTATACGAATGCCTGGTGTAGCCCAGTCACAGAATAAAAATTTACACTGGATATTTTTACGTTTTAAAGGGAACATTTTGTCGAACTGTATTTTTATGATGGATAATAAGTTAGCATAGATCTCACTCGGGCATTCATTGTCTTGTAATGGGCTGCATAATTTATGTTTTAAATTGTTATTTAATGACTCAATTTTTTTGTTTGTTATCTGTCTGAATATAATTTCCTTAGTTGCCACAGTTTTAAAAGTATTAAAGTTGACTGTTAGCCCACTGTGATCAGATGGTAATCTGTTTACAATTTCATTATGTAAATAATCACAGTTACAAAAAATATTATCTATACAAGTTGCCGAGGTGGATGTTACTCGGGTAGGCTCAAGGAATATATTAGACAGATCAAAAGATTTAAAAAGACCTAATAAGTTTGTACAATAAGAGTTGTTTTCTAAGAGATCAACATTAAAATCGCCACATACTATTGTATACTTATTACTAGAACACGTTTTCTGTAATACATCTTCCATTACTGAACAAAATATATTTAAATTCTGTATGTTAGGAGGCCTATAAACACATACTACAATATGCCTATCCAGTTCAACACAGGACAACTCTATTGAGTGCTCAATTGATAGCAGTGCAATGTCTTGCCTTTCTTTATATTTTATTGAATTCTTTACTAAAATCAAGCTACCACCATGTATCATTTCTTTGCGGCTATAATAGTTGCCAACACAATAATTATTGAAGTTAATTGATTCTACTTGATAATCTTTTAACCAATGTTCAGTTATACAAATAATGTCATATTGGAACTTTTCTAAAAACAATTCAATTTGTAGGATTTTTGATGCTAAGCCCTGAACATTTTGACTATACAATGACAACAGGTTATCTGTTTTATTTTTCAATTTAAGTTTATGCTTAACAATATTGCCAGAAGAAACCTTTTCAATGATAGGGGTTTTTGAGTAATTTAATTGGTTATCTTCTGTTGTCGTGGAAGTCAGTTTAAAAGATTACTATCCGGAGTACTATCCATATTTATAACTAAATGTGGAGCCTCCTTCGCGCTATTATATGTACAATTAATCTCTATATTGTTAGATTGTCTAATCAATATAGATTTGTCACTAAAACTACTTATTAATAAATTAATACTATTTGCTAGCAAACTAGCAATTAATAATTTACATTTCCTGGGAATATACATATAATCCCGGGTCAACTTGAAACCACTAACAAATTTGTTAGTGTCAAAAAATGATAATTTGTCACTATGACAGCAGGTCAGAAAAAATATTAAATTGTTTAGATTATGAATTTTACTATTTTGCATTTTTGACAGAGTGTCAGCATATGGGAATGCACATAATACTATCTTCCCTGTATTTAATTTCAATAAGGTGTTGATACCATCACTTATATCCCGCTTGTTTATCCCTGTACTATCACCCATTAATATTACTATTGGCTGATTTTCTGCTAATTGTTTCTGTGATATTTTTTCTATCATATGGCCAAATTTTATATTGTGATAACAGTAATTTGTTACCCTGTATTTAAGACAATTAGCGATAAGTGACCCAAAACCTGCACCCACTGAGTCTGTAAACACACCAGCGTTGTAGGTAACAACTGGTTGACTCCCTGTTTGTGGCCCCGGCACAAGTTCTGGCTCAAAGGGTGGAGTGAGGGCACAGCTACATGAAAGGTTATTTGCAAGAGACTCATATCTCTCAGCACTAAAAGTAACTAAATCCACAAGTTTTCCTGCCTCAATCATGTGTTTATTGAGTTGTGATTGGGCAGATTCATATTTTTGGAACATATCATTTAAGAACATTTCACGTTGTAAAAGTTCTTGTTGAAGAGCCTGAATGTCTTTGTCATATATGACCCTACATTGTTCTAAATCACTTTTGCATGATTTAAGTTCCTGAGTTAGATTTAATTTTTGTTTTCTTAAATAGACATTCTTTTTAAACAGATTTTGCTTCTTTTTGAGTTTTTTAATTGTTTTATTTAGTTTTATATATTTTTTTATTTTATTGTGGCTATTCAGGACAGGGCAAGCAGTAATGGTATCATCACCGGTTAAGTCTATTGTGACTGCTGGTTCACAGATGTCACCAGATTCACTACCAACCAATTCTTCATACAAACTCTGAGTGTTGACCGACAACACAGATTTTTTGGAGGCCTCTAAGTCATTAATTATATTTTGTGCTTCTCTGAGGTCATGTCTTAGTTTAGCTTCAAGTGTACCCAGTTATCAGATCTAAATGACTTATCCTCATAATTCTATTTAACCTGTCCTTGGATATTTATTCCAAAAATGTTTTATAGCTTAAGCTAAAGTAATTTTTACTGTATAAGTTAATATTTAATAATTGTTAATAAATTTTTCAGCTGCTGGTCGGGGTCGGGCAGGCGGTAGAGGTGGAGGACACAGAGGAGGGTGGCAGGGTGGATCCGGACCTTCACGGCGTTAGACTGGTGTCAATGTGTCAACAGTGATAATATTCTAATATAATTATTTTAAGTAGGCTAACATGGTTTGATTAAGTAAGTCCCCATATTATAGGCATTGTTTTCCTCTGTTTTATGTAAACATATTGGCGATGCAAAAATTATCCCCCGGCCTCTAGTGGCGAAATTTGAAAGCTGTCTAAGAGTAACACTTTGTTTATTTGTTGAAGTTATGTTAGATTATTCAAATGGATCACGATTAGATATGAACCTGTTGCAAATAAAAAAGAAATGCAAAATATTGTTGCATTCCTCAATGTAGTACTTACGGAGATACTGGAATAAATTTTCATTTATTCCCAAAAGACAAAATTATGAAGTAAAAATGGAAGACTGCTAAGAATATGCAAGCCAATTTCACATAGCTCAGCTAAAGAAGTACCATTAGAAAAGAGCACTCAAATTTTCTTTTCTTTTTGGTTAGATAAAAGTTATCTGTGGAATAATTACGATGTTGTTGTGTCAGAATGTTTGTATAAGACAGTGACAGCAACAATTTTATTCCTCAGATAACATTTATCTGGCTAGAAATATCTGTCCTTAAACAGCAAAATGCCACTTTAATCTGATTTTTATTTATAATTTATTTTTCCCTGAGGTTAATTGTTAGGAAAACTGTCAAAGTGTTGTTCTTAGACAACTTCACCATTTTGACCCTAGAGGCACTAGCTAGAATCTTTGCATGGGCAATAGTATAATAAAATGTTATATATTGAGTCACTTTTTACCCGACTGCCAAAGAAGGAGGGTAATGTTTTTCGAGTGTATGTAAGTATGTATGTATGTCTTTTCCTTTGTGACCTCCTGTAGCCTAAACGGCTTGATGGATTTTGATGTATGAGGTATCGTTAGATTTGTCTTGATTACGGGAGTGTCATAGGATACATTTTATCCTAAAAGTCCCACGGGATAAGGACATAATAATATTTTTTCTAAATTTCCCTTTAAAAAAATATGTATGCGGTATCATTAGATTCATTTCAATCACGGGAGTAATTAATATAGGATACGTTTTTTCTCAAAATTCCCACGGGAAAAAGTTATAAATAAAAAAATTATTATTAAAAAAACAAAATACCCGACTGCACACTAAAAAAAGAGTAAAACAAGCCCCACAATACAAATTTACTGAATATAATTTATAAATGTTGATGGAAAGCATCGCAGGCGGGGACCACCTTGACCGCCACCAACGAAAATTCTGCTAAATGGTGCACAACAGAAATGACTATAAATAAGCCTCTGTTGGTCCCCGTCTGCGATGCTTTCCATCAACATTTATAAATTATATTCAGTAAATTTGTATTGTGGGGCTTGTTTTACTCTTTTTTTAGTGTGCAGTCGGGTATTTTGTTTTTTTAATAATAATTTTTTTATGTGTTGAGATGTTTATAGTCAGTCTCAGTAAATTACCATTCTTCAAATATAAGCCTCATTACAATAAAATTGTATCCATTGTCAATGAATTCTCTAACTCATCACACTTGGCCCTAGAACAGCAATTTGTGAATTGTGCAATTAAGTGTTCCTTCTGGGAATAGATTAAGATACATTGTGCAGCATGCAGCATGTATTAATATGGAGTTATGCTCAACATTCCACAACACCTGTATATGGTTTAGTGGGAATAGATGTTTTTTGACTTTGACTTTAATTCTATTTGTATATGTCTTATCAGTAGGTTACTGAGGCTGACTGCCAATTCATTAGTTCATTCGCTGGCCCACAGGTGCCTGTGACTGAACTAATACTATATGTATGTTGCAGGCAACTAGCTTAATCATTCATTCAATCAATGGCCTAAATTACTAGCTATTTGATTTAATGACCGAATTACTTATTTAAGATGTTAGTTCAATTTTATGTGGGTATTAATGAAAGAAGTCTTGCTACCTAATGGTAGGTTAGGTTATTTTAGTACTGTACCAGCACGGAAATCAAGTCACCTTTACAAAATTAGTTATCAATATCACACAGAAACAGAAATTCAGTCATTCAGGTTGTTGATTGACAGGCTAGTTCAGTGCGATATACACTCCCACATTTGTGGACAATGTGGAAATAATACTATGGTTGCAATGTAAAGGGACCTCAGCTTGATAGCAAGTATCAAGTCATGTATAAATGTGTGAGAGCTCAGACCTGTGTGTAATTTAAGGAATAAATTCTTTAAAAATACTTGTTTGGGCCTTTTAATTACACAAAACTATAATTTGTTAGTATATTAAATTATTTTATGTAACTTAGATTTAATAATTTTAAGTACATTTACTACATTTAAGCTTTGTGCTGTAAAGGTAAGCACAGCCCTGACAGCCCTTCACGCCAAATAAGCAGGGAATAATAAAACCAAGCTCACATACTGTACACATTTATTTATCCGAACTTACACCATTAGCACAAGATGAATTGGATTGGGTGGCCAATCCTTCAGTCTTTGTGCCCTGAGAGCTATAAAGTATACAGGTAAAGGCTACAGGCTACGTTTTAAATATAATTACCACGCGCATAGCGGGGGTGGCGCCCTCTACGCCATTACTCTACACTATTATCACAAATAAGTCCCTCTAGATAAAGCCATACCATAATTTAGTTAATCGCTTTTTACAGCAGTTAGGAAGTGGGTCATCTGCACCCATTTCATTAAATACTTGGAATATTAGCTTACTCTAATTAGCTGTGTATTATAAATAATAGAAGACCCTAAAGCTACCACGGGCCTCTGGCTTGAAGCTACAGTGCTTCAGTGCTTGTCATCATAGATGATACAAGTTGACGTTATGGTCCTACTAACTGTCAATGTGAATATTTAGTTTGCACTAAATATTACAGATACTTTATTCGTTCACTCATTTACAGTGACAATAATCCACTCTAAGGTTTAAATATTAACTAGGCACACTACACAGATTGTTGAATTACTTGTGTGTAAGATAAATAATATGATATGTAGGCACCTATATACACTTACGTCCGGGTACTCGGTAGAATAAAAGCCGAGTGCAACTCAATTCCGTAACAAATACCCGACTAGGACCAGCCTAAACAATTAAACCAAGTGAAATTTGTCATTTACAAAGTGGCAGGTACTGCAGTACCCGCGCTGCGGATATACTACGGAGCGGTGCGCAAGCCGAGCACCGCGGGTAGGGCTCCGAGCTCACAAGTCAGACTTGTCCGCGGGGGCGCGGGGTGAGGGTGCGCTGGGGGCGCGGCCCGAGCGCTCTGGTCGCAGCGCACGCACCAGGCGCTGCGCCGGCAGCTCCACCAGCAGCGCCAGGGGCAGCGCTGCCATGTACGACACGGCCGCTACACCGAACCATTCCGTTATCTAGCAACACATGTTAAGCTTAGGTTAGACTCAGTTTGCAGTACTAAAGTTTAAGGGGAAGTTATTCTGTTGCTGGCATTACCGCAGCCTGCCGGTCCAGCATGGAGGGTATGAGCCGCGACGCCACCAGCGCCTTGTTGATGGGCATATGCAGCAGTAATGCGCCGAAGGAGAGCCGAGCCCACGCCGCCCACCCCGGCCACGACAGGCAACGCTTCGCGGCAGCTGTGGGCACGTGATACATGCTTGTTAATCTTTACCTGTCAAATACTGTTTTACCGAAATGTGATGTGTCATGATGAACCGTTAAGTTACACCGAGCGTTCCAGAACTGTGGGTATGTATACTGACATGGGATTCCGTTCATTGCACCCAGCAGTGCTACGGCCACAAAGAAAGAGAAGATGGGTCTCTCGAGTGCAGCGAGCGCGGCGGCGGGCAGGCGGTCGGGGGGCCCGCGGCCCAGCGCTAGCGGGGACGCCGCCACCCACCACGCGGCCACTGGCACCGCCGCCACTGATATCCACCCGAATATCTGCAACACATCATATTATTACATCGTTTAAAACACGCAGGAAAGAAAGAAACGAATGCTTTTATTACAAAAAATCACGAACGCATGGAACCAATGAAATTATAAAAGATTACAATTTAAAGGTTTAAAAACAGAGCAATATAGTAAAAAGACTAATAATTATAGACAAACAACTCCGCGTTGGTAATCCGCATAATAGGTATGCCAATACACTACCTACATACATCATCCGATCCTAAGCATAGTCATTACACTACATTAGCGCCGCCCCTGTAAGTAGCGGCTGGAAGGTGGTAGCAGTTACCGACTAGACAATAGCCACTGAGTAGGTATTACTATACAATGTTATAATTACATCATTACAGATGTACCTACAAGTTTCCGCAACAATAAGAGAGTACGCGAGCGTGAAGGAGAACCTTTACATCGGTAGGTACCTACAACTAGGAGGGCTGGTAACATTATATGTAGATATGGTGACATTTTTATACTTGGTGAGTTTTTTATAATTTTTTAAATCCTCCCTTCTTTTATATTTCCCTTGTGTCGTAGGTGCGCTTACACATAATCTATAAATTAACATTCACAAGCCACCCAGACCCTAAACAACAATCTGTGGATCACAGAAAGTGTTGTTCCGGGTGGGAATCGAACCCGCGACACGTTGAACAGCAGCCAGTTGCCCATTCACTGCGCCAACCGTGCAGTCAGTATTAAAATGTCTCCTGTCAATAGGTATCCAACATTGGCACATACATTAATTGCGAACAACACATTAAATTAATGCTGATGATGCTGTAAAGTAAATAGCAATAAGTAGTGAGTCGTGTTATTAAAAATAAGACAAAACTACGAAGAGATAAAAGTACACATGCGTAACGTGGCCGGAGCACAACGCTACCACTGGCACGCATAGCGCGGGCATAAGCTCATCATTAATATCAGTAATGAAACAATGAATTTATTTTTGCAAATAGGCCATAAAACGGCACTTTTACACGTCAATTTATATGTGAGAAACTAGATGATGTACAACTACGTATATCATATGAATTACGTAAAATGTACGTACGTAAAAAAATAAAACTAGCGTAACGAAATTAAAAAATAGGTGGTAACATGACGGTGTGAGTGTCCCGGGGTCAGTAGGGGTTGGTTACCTTGTAGCGCGGCAGCTGCACGTCCAGGTCGAGCAGCATGTGGTGCAGGTGCGCCAGGAGCAGGCCGGCCAGCGCGCCCGGCACGTTGCCCAGCGGGGACTGGTACAACACGTTGAACGATGGCTCATCGCGGTACGCCAACCACACCGACCTGCCGACATAGTTCCGTCAACGGCTGCATCATTGCAAGTTAGGAGCTGCCTCCTAACTTGACTATACTATAATCCAACATCGGCTTCTGCTTCAGATTGAAGTTCCATATTAAACCTACCAAATAAACTAAATGGTTCGTAGTAAAACACTAGCTTACTCAGGACGATGCATGACGTATGTAGGCACGAGGTTCCAGGAGTAGGCCAGGCCAAAAAGCAGGGCCATTGAGCCGACCAGAAGCGCGGTCAGCACCACCACTGCCGCACGCCGCCAGCGCCAGAGCATCAGGGTCAAGGCCAGACACACGGCGTACAGCTGCATGTCCGCTGCCAGGTACCTGCGAGCCAGCAACTCTGTCAACAATCTTCCATGGCAATGTGGGAGCCACAAGTCACAGTGCAGCAACTCACCAGGTTTGTATCAGACACTTGTCGTCCGCGTACAGGATGTTGTTCAGATAGAGCAGATGCGTCCACCACTTGCGTCGACACACGGCGGCCTCGCTGGCCACCATGGGCGCCCACAGCGGGCCGCGCCCCGTGCGCTGCCACCACGACGCCGCGAACCAAACCACCACCCAGTACGATGGGCTCACCCTGCAACACACAATGATGACATTGTCAATCATTCGTATAGGAACCGCTGACGCCAAAATAAACCGATACCGATAATAATGTATTATCCACTACAAAGGAACGTGCAGCATAGTTACAGTCTAGTGGTCTAGTCGCAATATTTTAGTAAAATCGATCGATATCCATAGATTTCTAGTTTCCTGGTTTCTTTGGTTTGACCTGATGATCCTGTTGAACATGGTGTCCATGAAGGTGGAGAAGGGCGGCACGTGTTCCCCGCGCCTGCGCTGCTGCAGCAGCTTGTGTGCCAGCAGGAACGAGGACATGATAAAGAAGATCTGCACCACCAGCGTACTGTTCGTCATCAGAATCACGTCGATGGAGCCGCGCATCTGTCAAGCAATACGTTCGACAGTTAGTGCTACAGCCCTGCGCTGTTTACGAGAGTGAAATTAATGGAGTCAGGTTGTTATATGTATATTATACTTAGGAGACAGCAGCCTAGATAGGGCACTGTGAAATACGGACTAATATCTTCCTGAAATCAAATAACTACGTTGTAAAGAAAGTGTGTGCTTGTGAAGCGACCTGTTCGTATATCTTGGTGTCGGCGAGGTAGGCCTGCGTGGTGATCCAGCAGACGTGCTCGATGATGACGACGAGCATGGTAAGCACGCGCAGCCCGTCGAAGCAGGCGAGGTCAGTGCGCGCGGCGCGCGGCGGCGGCGCCGACAGCGCGCGCCAGCACGCCGGCACCGACCACACCAGCGCCCACTCCACTCCTGCGGCGCAACACATACACACTACACCCACTATAATCATGTATCGTGGTGCTGGTTTACACATCGTCTACGCTGATATTGTTTCTAGTATGCAACGTACATACACAATACTTACAGCAAAGCTGCTGACGTTAAGCGAAGGCCTCTAATTTACAGGTCAACATGTATGACAGAACAACTCAATATGTATGATATTGAGTTACTGTAGCAATATATGTATAACATCGTCAGTGCAGGACAGAGGACTATAGTACCTTTCCTGGCGTGATCGCTAAGCGTCAGGTCTAGCGCAGTGCTGATGACGGCGAGCGCCAGTAGCGCGGCGAGGAAGCCTACGAAGGCTCGCTCCGCAGTGTTGAGGTCAGGCGTGGGAGCCTCCCCTCGGCTGCAGTACTCCAGCTGTAGCAGCTGCGCCGTCAGGTTGTAGCCGGACAGCGTGCTCGCGTTCACACACGATGAAAACCTGCAACAAAAATGGAAACATCCCGCTCCCGTGGTCAACCAATTGTTTTAATGTATTTTGTTTTATTATAGTTATTTTGTTTTTAGTTATTTACACTTATATACCGCACCTGCTTAGTTCAGTCTCAATTATAACATTTCAACTACTACGAGGCGTAGAGAGTACAAATTATGCGTCTCGTAACCCTTTTTAAAAAGGGTTCATAGAAAAGACATCAACGCGCGCGTTATACTAAGCCACTTTTTGACAAAAACGTGGGGAGACAAAACTGAATATAATATATCATTTAAAAAAATGTTTGGGTTGCAATCTAGAAAAACAGCAATCCTGAAACTATGTATTGGTATAATTTACAGTATAATGAACTTGGTATTTTAATCAAAGCCTATTGTGACACCTCGCAGCGAAGTATTATCGGTTCAGTACGTACCAGTCCCGCAGCTGGTCGTCATGTAGGTCGTGCTGGTGCGGGGGCGCATGCGCCGCGCAGTTGCGGGGTAGGCAGAGACCGCGGTGTAGCCGCGTGTGGTTGTAGTTCTCCACTGTGTTCGCTGAGTAGCCCTAGAACACACGTTACTTACTTATGGATCAACTTCAAAACGCTGAAAACATTTTACACTCGGATGCATAAATACTATTAAATACACAACCGGATACAGTCAAATACTAGTATTTATATCTATATTTCTAGAAATGTCTAGAGTTGTAACAGCCGCTAGGTGACGGGAGCGGCCAGCACGTGGCACTTATTTACCTTAACCGCTAGTTACTATCGTTGCTCAACCGCGACTCGAACCCGGCTCTCTCGCCAGCCTAGTTTGTTATTGGGCAATAAACTATGGTTAAACGATAGGAAGGTTGGCTGATGTATTGAAAATTAAATAACTGATGTAAACCTTCAGTCTTCTGTTTGATTATTTCTCTTGAAAGTCAAAGTCAAAATTAAAGCAGTGATTACGAATAAGAATAAGTGATAGGTAGCAGGATGCGACATGCGTACGCAACCCAACACATTTCCAATTTAAATTTTCGATAGAAATTATAAATAAGTAGTCAGTTATGACAGTTTGTTTAGCGACAATATGGAGTGTTGTAGACAGCAATCGAGTTAAGTGTCTATGGGCAGCTTTGTGTTGTCCCATATAGAGCGTCGGCGCGGGCGCAGTGCCCAGCGAACAAAGTTCAATGACCTCCCCTCTCTATGAACGTGCGGTATACTTGGTCGCTCGCTCACTTCCCACCCTCTCTGCCTAGTGCCTACACTCTATACCTGATATCTACGTGACTCGTTACTGAAACCATGAAAATGTAACGCAGCATCACTATTGGCCGAGTCGGACGTCCGGTGAGGTGGTGACAGTACCAATGACAACATCTTACATCACACTCACTGCCTGACTGGTTGACTATAGTGCTCGTATTTTCCCCTCCATCACAATTGCCTTTACGTGGAACTCAATCGAATCGATTTGTATGAAAAAAAGATAAAATAGTTGGTACTCAGACTGTAGTGAGCAATCAATGAAAAAATGTCAGCGTAAGAAGTGTCACGGTATCGGGGTCACGATCTATCTCTGCGCCTGCGCATGATCCACTCGGGTCCGTGCGATGATGTATTGACAAACAAACTTTCACTAACTGTTGTAGGATAACGCGTAATAGTTATTTGTAGTGTTACACAATCGCTGGGTCTAGACGCGAGAGGAGCGCAGCCTCCCGCCGCCGCGGTGACGAGCTCGATACATACATACACACCGTGTAGTATGTAGGTCCGCCGGCTGGCGGCGGCTAGCGAGCCGTTCGATAATGTGACGGTATAAACACTAAACACGAATAACATTGTCTAACGAACGACCCAACACAACGTTGAGTAAATGTGCGAAACGAATGTTTAACTGGTCATAATGTGTATAATTAATTCTAGAAATATATAGAATGGGAATGTGTATTTGTTCTGACGTAAGTAGAAAAAAAATGAAATTGGGTATACGCTCAGAATTGTTAGTAAACAATTGTAATGTTTGCGAGGAGCGGTAGTACGGGTGTAGGGCACGGACCTGCATGAGGTCGTAGAGTGTGTGCGGGCGCTGCGCCGGCGCGAGCTCGAAGCTGCCGACGCAGTAGGCGCCGCGCGCCGCCACGCAGCCCGGCCACTCGTCCAGCGCGAACAGCTGCGGCATCTCATAGTACTGCTCATCTGTAACATCACGCGATATTTAAACAAAAAACAAACATATTAAACAGGGTCTCCCAAGTCAATAGCTGTAGCTGCGACTAATGACACAAATAGCTCGTTGATAAACTGAAATTATGATAGTAGTAGATATTTTTTTGCGGGATAGGTCGGCAAACGCCCCTTAAAACGACGCGATCGCCGCCGCCCATGGACACTCGCAATACTTAAACAGTTACCACAAATGCGTTGCCGACCTTATGTAGGTTATTAGGAATTTAATGTTACGGGTCTTGGGGATTGAAGATGGGAGAAGGAAAGGAATGGGCCTCCAATTACATCGGTCAATGGTCAAATTCAAAGTTGTCATATTTATTAAAAATAATAATCTTCCTAAGTTTTTAATGAATCAGCTCAGATCTGAATGTACAGCGAGGTGGATGCATTCCAAGCCCCACGGCGCCGGGGGCAGCGACTGACATTGACAGTGCAAGCTATGCGCTGTGATGCACCGCCCGACACATTGTTATGTTAATGGAGCGACCTTTGTGTGCCGCGCACCGCCAGCCCTTACATCATGTATTACACTAAGCACACATACCGGCCGCGGTTGTAAAATTATAAATATAGTCACGCGTTTACTACATATGGCTACAGTTTACCCTTTCACAAAGCAATGAAACTAGCAAAATGCGGCAATAACATAAATATCCATCATTTCGCTTAGTTAATGGGCGGGTGAAGTAAGTCGCGGCCCGCGCCGGTATCGGGGCCGCGCCGGCCGGCTTACACAACGCTCAGCGACGGCCACTGACATTGTTTACTAGCCAACTGCTACTGCCCGTAGCGGACCGGCCTACTAGACAAACTCCACCTGATATACATATATAATATGATATATGCAGATATATCGACTGATTAGATTACATGTTATCCACACATTGGAATGTCAAGCAGCGGCCATGCTTCGGCACGAATGGGCATGATACTTCGACCGGAGTGATACCACGGCTTCACAGAAAACCGGCGTGATACAACCCAATCCCTCCCCCTCCCCCATCCCTTCCCAATCCTTAAATATCCGAAAACCTTATCCCTAACGGCCGGCAACGAATTAATTCCTTTGGTGTTGCGGTTGTCCATGGGCGGCGCTGATTGCTTACCATCAGGTAATCCGTCAGCTCGTTTGCCGACATATAACATAAAAAACACGTCTTCGAGAGCATGTAAACATGTAAACAGTAGCGCACGCGTCGCACGTACCGTGTACGTGTACGTGTACGTGATGAATGAAGTGGAACTTGCCCAACACATCCTTTGTTGGTGTGTGCGCCGGAAGTGTAAGGTCAATGTGAACGAGCTTCGTATCGACCGGAATACAATGATGGCAGTGCGGTAATCTACATAACTGAACTTATTTAGTACAATAATGTGAAACTATTGACATTCATTATCTACCGCTATATGTAAGTGACAAGTTATGTCTGCACTAGGACTAGCTACAGCGTAGGGAAGTTATGAAGAATTTTATCCAACACAGGTATTCAGATTACTATAACGCAAATATTGTTACGACGTTTTTCCTCTTAGTGCGGATGAGGACTACTTGACCGAACACAACATACAGCTTTGACCGAGAGTCACGTCATACCTCCACATATCTCTGACTACCACTCAGTATTCTAAAACCCCGCCCCCTAGAGCAATCAGCTAATGACAATATTGTTAATAAAAAAGAGTAATTACTCAGGCATATACACAAGTATGTTGGAAAGTGTGATCATTGCTAGAGTTGGATATAATGCGCAGACGACACTTTCCCGCAAAGTGTTAGAAACTGCACACGCGCACAAAGCTCGATAGAATTGACAACTTTCCTCACAGGTCACAACCACATCACAAGCCATACAGGCACACTCAATAGTGACTCAATATAGTACGGGTATATGTTCAGGCGCAGTATTAGTTGTGCATCTACACGATATCAGATGAACCAGGTCAGTGGTTCGATCAATGAGGAAATATGTAAAAATATTTACAATATTAATCTAATGTAAATATTTGTACATGATCAAATGTAGTCTATATAATAGACAGGAACCTAAAACAGTCGTCCTCACACTCTTTTTCAGTTGTAGAGTTTTTTAAACTCTGACTGCTTTTAAATAAAAGGAAAATCGACGTGTAATAGATGCAATAATTAGTAATCCATGTCAAATTAATATTTATTTATAACAAAAGATGAATTAAAGTTATTGTTCACCTTTCGGTTAGTTTAGGGTTAAAGAGAGAGATAGTACTTTCGCAGAGGTCTACAAAGGTGTTGCGTAGATCCCAGACTCCGCGGAGCAGACTTCGAGTATAATCAATTTATACATACTATTTATATTTTTCTTAGTACTTGAAACATAAAGAAGGCCATCTTTATGTTTCTACAAGTAAGGATCGCTCAAAGCGAAAAACAAAAAAAATACATATGGGTTTCTTTTTTTACTTATTAGTTTCTGAATTTTACCGTAAAGTGTGACGAAAAGGTGATTTTCATGCAGAAAAATGCGCATACAATTATTATTTAAATTTGTTCGAAAAAATAACATTTTTTACTGAGGTAAATTACATACAAAGTTATTTTGGTCATGTAAATATTATGTCATCGAATAATATTGTGTGGTAATACAGAATTGTATGATATTGTATGATAATGCACTATTGTATGATAAAACTGATAAAATTTACATGTTTCAGCTAATTAATCACGTCGACGTTCTGTTGCTAGAATTCAATAGTTACTTAGGAACTTTTATAACCTGTTTCGCAATGCCTAAATGCTAGTATCTAGTATTTTAAATAAAGAACTAAATTTGTATGACCTACGTGACACATACATAATCGGCTTCTTTATTCATGGCATGTGGGGCAAACGAGCAAGCGGATCACAACGTAATAAATGAATATAATTTACATATATAATTACAATACCATCTAATATGCACATACAATGTCTTCTAGCTTCTATCACCTATTTACATAACAATGCCAAGTCGCAGATCGCATCTGTCTATCCGTCCATATATGTATTATGCACAACACATTGACATAGTATTCCTGTTACATTATTATCCAAATCAGTAAAATTACAAATCATTCAAATTAAAATAATTGTCTGTCAGTCTATTCATCAGTGATGCTGAGAGCTCGTTCAAATTGTAGATTCGAATGGATAAGAACTGGCAAGAAGTTCCATATTTTCACATACCTATACTGGATTTTAATTATGTATCCATCAGATTGTTTTCTTGATCTTTCTTCTTCATTAGAACTTCACTATTTAAGAAAAGTTTCACTTTTCAAAATATTAATAAGTAATCTTTACTTTGAGTTTGAAAACATACTCAAAGGGCAATTGCAGTAGAGAGTTGCAGTTAATTCTGAGAGACAGATAAGATCCGGTCGGAAATGTTAAGAGTAGCATGTGCCGTAGGTACATCTTCTGCTTATTATGTACCTACTCCTACATACTTTGTTGGACGGTCATAAATAATGTTAAAATATGTTATGCGAGACCTTGATAGAAAGATAATATTAAGGAGTTTATGCATCATGTCTTTTCTTTCTAACCTTGCTCGCACTAAGATTTTCTCATGTGTCAAATACAATTTCGCGTACACACAACACCGAGACCCCAAAAAATAATCTGCATATTACTTACATAAGGAGTTGTCCCGTGTGTGAATGGAACCCGCGACACATTGTGGTTACCCAGCCACAGCGCCAACCGTATCTACATTTATAAGTTAATTATAATTTAGGTAAAAACTTAGTAGATTTAAAGACTGAATTGATTGCACTGTCGACACGGTGGCTGGGCAACTGGTTACCCTGTGTCACTGGTTTGATTTCCGTACGGAATTAACTGTTTGTGTGATCCACAACATGTTGTTCGTGCCTGGGAGTGATGTGCATGAGAAATTCTATGTTTAGAAAAGTACTCACGACACAGGATATTGCACTAGTGTGGGGTAATGTAACAAAAATAGTTTTAAAATTAATTGATTATGTATTTAGGTCGTTAGTTCGTTGGAACAGTTTCGAATGTAAACGTATACATAGAGCCTGGTTTGTAATAGTATCTGTGTGCGGGACACAAGAGTTGGCCAACACTCGAGTTAGCGCTCCCACCTCGGGTGCCTGCGCACCGCGGCGCGGTCAGTTTGTGCAAACCGCAAGTATTTAGCTACAGAACGTACTGCAACTGCCCTACTATCTGTTATACACTTCCTTATATCCTAGATAGCTAACTGACGAAACAGACACGGAGCAGGTACCTACTCCTAACCACGACGTGGTTGTATGCGACGACATTTTAGCACAAGCAAACACCCCAAACTATGGACCGACAGTCAGATATTTATTTTATTTATTAAACTTTTGAGTCTGTTTATTGTTATTTACGTAAACTGAGTTTGATCATAGCAATTTCTTTGTAACCTATCCTTCAATCCATTATAAAGCAACACCAATACACATGTTGCCATGAACTATGTATTAGTTGAAAAAAACATTAAAAATGTTTAAACAAACAACACTAAAACTTAGTAAGATTATCACAATAAATTTAGCTTATAAGTTACTGCCTAATCGAAGGCGTGAGTTAATGCATTTGTATAAAGTGCAAGCTTATAAACAGGATACGAGGAACTTTGTACCTGCCGCGTGTCGAACTGTGGACCGTGATCGAGAATACTACATAAAATAATCAAATCATCTACGAGTAGCCAGCGGAGTAAAATACCGCGGCTAACTTTCGTTTTCAGGCAAATTATATAATTTATCTAATATTTTGGCGAGCAGTACGAACCCGCGCCAATGCGGTCAAGTTATAAGTGACAGCGGTTTAATAGAAGTAATGCAATGAACCACAATCTGTATAGCTGGTCGACCAGAACCGCTCATACATTATTCAGCGCGACACACCAACACACTCGAATTAGACCCGCGGCCCTTTTACTTGCACCTTATTTCAAATCCGACTTATATTGCAAGCTGCAGCACGTGCAAGCTTTGCACTACTCCCTCCGCCCAGAGGTTGGTCACGTTGTACGTAACTGGCCAAAGCAACAACTTGCCTGTATCTCAGTTGTGTCACTTTCAAATCGATTAGACACGAACTAACGATTACCAAAGACCTGAACTCAAACCGGGCCCTTGTACCAACCCTTGAAGCTCCAGTGGAAGCCGGTGCCGGCCTCCACTCCACACCGAACATGAGCAACACAGGAAAGTAAGGGAGACACTGATCACACACTGGTACCGTACCGCTCAAGTCGAAGACGATGTGAGCAGCAGCGCCGGCGAGGTGGCAGAGCGCCAGCAGAGAGAGCGCGCGCGCCGCAGCCATGGTGCGCACTAACTCGCGGCCGGCGCACGCGCACGCGCACCGTCGCAGCGCTCGCCGCTTGCATAACGCCGGCCTTTCATTTCTAAGCAGGGATGTACTAGGCGAGTGGACACTTATCCGAGTACTACATCGCTCGACGTCACCAGCCTATACTTTAGTATTTCATCAAATTACTTCTGTTGGACAAATTTAACAACTTCTGGATCATTCGTTATAATCAGCATTGAAATTCATAATAAACGAAAATATGGAGAAAGCTAGTGTGAATGCGTAGGGACACTACAATTCTGTGATCTTCGCCCTGTTTGTTACTCGTACACTTGTATCTAATATTCTCTACAGTATAAACCCCTTAACTTCCGGAAATAAGTTCTAGTTCTAGAATGCACAAGGTCCATGTATTTAATACATAAGTACCTACAACAATCATTTGATGCAAACATGGGCTAGTTTATGGACTATTTCAAATTGTTTTTGTCTACAAAATATCTGATGTTGGTGTTAAAGCTGCGTTGCCCCAAACCGAAATAAATTCCCCCGCTGCATATTCTAGATATCTTATAGGTGACGTGATAATAATAATTAAATTAATTTTCAGAACTTTGTCAGTGGCCCAGTATGAATGTGTTAGAAGTAGAACTATATTTCCTACGAGTGCACGGTAGCGGCGCGGCGCTGGGTACTGGAGGAACCGGTCTGGTTTGGAAGGTCGATCGTTGCCCTGCTGCCGGCAGTGGGTCAAATGTTTCGTGGCTCGCACTCGCTCGGTGCATCCATTACTATGCCCCAATTTAATCTATTCGAAACTCTTTAAGCACGATGCATATCCTACTAATATTATAATTGTGAAAGTGTGTGAGAATGTATAGATGTATGTTTATTGTTCTTTTTCTCAAAAACGGCTCGACCGATTTGGTTGAAATTTGGTATGTAGATAGATGATCTTTTTATCAACATACCACGTAGAATATTTATAGTATTAGATCTATTAAAGCATTTGAGATACGTGCCTGTATACAATTTCAGTTTGTTTTCGAATTTGAACTTGTACTGAAAGGAAACGTGGTTATTTAATTATACAATGGTGATTCTTGTTCAATGAAACAAAAGAGGTCAAGGGAAAGCATTAGCTTTATAGTCGAGAGCAGTCTATCAATCACCATTTCACCAACACATTAGTAGGACGAGGGCCGGACTTGTAAGCCCGGTCTCATACAACCAACGTCATTAATGTCTGCAACTGTTGCTATACAAATGTCTCCTTGTCAACAAGGAGTGCTCTTTTGTAGAAATGGTGTATGAATGTAGGAGTATCAAAGCGTTTTGTGGATGCGGCATTATTGTATGCTGAGTGAGTGGCGTCAGAGCAACAACAGCGCGATATTAATGATCGCACCGACTCAGGTCAAACACTGCCTGCTCCAAATTATGAAACTTTGTTGATTAATGGTTAATGAGCGTTATGTAAGCAACTATTTGGTATTAGCAAATTAAATCTTTATATTCTAACCTAGTTAGAATAAAGATGTTACGCATAATATGTCAATATTGTTTAGTTGTGAATGAAACTTCAGGTGAAATCTCTTTGAAACTGCGACTCACGTAAGTAGCGTTTATTTGTGTAATAGGCACGCTGTGTACAGATAACAACAATTGTTCTATTGTGGTATTATATGAAAATTGTATGGAGCAGTGGTTAATTGAATAAGTAGTTGTATAAAGGAAGAGCTATTTCGTAATTATCACTCAATTACAACACAAGCCATTCACTAACACGGCGGTGGCAGTGGAGCGGTCCCGGGGCATCATGGCTCGATACTTCCATAGTACTGGTGGAACAGTACGCACGGCCCGGCACGTACGTCACACGCTTGCTCTGCTACATCCTGCCGAGGCAGTGATAGCACTAGCAGATAGCTGGCTACTTGGACGTCTACACACGCCGCATGGGACCAACAATGTTATTATGCTTATTATTTACCATAACTTCATTTATATTTATGTTTCTCTGTCTCAGTCTATGCTTGCGAGTTAGCATTTATTTCAGATACAAAATCCATAAAGTCAAAGTTTTAGCATAAAGACTAAAACTCTTGAACGTTAAACAAAAAAGATGTGAAGTGTCAGTCTGTCGGTCAGTCCTCTTCGTGAAGCTGTTTGCTCGTTCTAAAACGAGCAAGAAATTTTATGGTACCTTTTTTTAATAAGTTCAGCCGGTTCTATAATGTGAGACTAATATTCAGTCAAAGTAACGGATATTCAGACAGTTTGGAGCTAACCAATAACAATAGACAGCGCCCGTTCACGAACATGACACGTAAACCAGCATCGCCCAACTCAAACATGTGATAGGAAATCGAGAGATTCAGTGCCCGTACCAAATGAATGAGCATGACAACCCCAAAGCTGATATAAGTTACAGGAATTACACCATAGAACTAAAGAATAGTTCGATTAAAACAGTTAGTCTGTTCAATATACTGCCTATTAATAATAAAGACTGAGAAATACTACACGATGAAGAGAGATGAGGTCAGCCTCCTTTGCCGTATCGTGCCGTTGGACCAAACCTCTTATAAAACAATACACATGCCTAACATTATCCTGGAGATCTCAATATCTCACGCAGTGCAGAGTGGTCGCTCCAAAGAGATTGTTTTAACACATTGTTAAAGAATTAAAACAAGAGGCTGTTTATAAACATAGGTTCTACTGTGAGCGCTGCACTGCTCTCAGGGTGTACGCAAGCAAACTATATTATGGGTGTAATAATACGTATATGTATATGTATATGTATAACATACGTTAGTAGTATAATACTACAATATGTAGATACAGTGGTGACACGGGATACCTATGTCCGCTGTGTAGCATAGACTAGTGCTTTGTCAACAATCAAAGGAGAAGAACATCTACTGCTGAAAAATAATGTCCCTAAATTGTACAGTGTCGTAAGACATACTCAATTTATTGAAGCTTACCTACAAAATTAAGTGATTTAGCTAATTACTTACTTCTAGTAAGTACTCTAGTTAGTAGCTCTACTAGTTGTATGTTACCACGGGACTCTTACTCAGGAGCAGCGTGTGCTTTTTCAATAAAAAAATATTCCCTCTTAAGAATATATTTGTACGCCGAAAGGCCAAACATGTCAGTGCTTTAATATATTTCTTTGTTCCATCTGCATGTAACTCATGTTATGACAAATAAAATGAGCTATCTATCTATCTAAAAAAAGAATTAATTCCATTATAATCTGTGTTTTGGCTTTGACTGCAACCTAATTTACTTTACATGCTGGTAGGAGGTTTAAAACTAACTATTACCTAATCAATCGTAGGTACTGTGCACATTAACCAACGTTGTCAGGGAAATAGAAGGGATATGTTCTTATTTACCGAAAAGGAATAGTACTCCGATCTTCAAATATTGTTTTGTTATCAACTATTATAGTTACTGTATTAATGTATCTATTATGGCGCAGTCGTAGGTCGATGACCCTTGCCTGAGCGGTGACTGGTGCACTCACTGCACTGATACCGGCTTCCGGGACACTCGACTTATCTAATTGTTAATTAATAAACAGTTACACAATAAATAATTATGAGTGAGTAATACAATCACGTAAACATATGAATTAGAATTTAGTTTTAATCCCGCACGGTTTCACCCGCTGCTCCACTCATATAGATCGTGATGTTTTATAGACTATAGCATGTACATAGATATATGTAACAAACACAAAAAGAGTTGTTCAATTCGAACCAGTAGTTCCGGAGCATTGCGCTATAGATATAGTTTGATAGCGCCCTCAAACAAACAAACTACAGCTTTATAATATTAAGTATATATTAATGCTAATAGGTGTGACCCCAATACTGTTTTTCCATACATTCAGACAGTATGTGTTTTTTTTTAAGTCCATGTATGTGTCATACTGTGATTTCTTTTTGTGTTTATACCTGGAACGCCATGCTTTCGTCGTTGCTAAAATATCTTCCTATAAAAATACATATACATATTCAGTAAGTCTTATGATATTATCAAGTCTATACCTATTTCAAGTGTACTTATGTCATGCTTCGGCACGAATGGCTCGGCTGGACCGAGATATACCGCGGCCACACAGAAAAGTGTGTGGTTACCGATGGCCTAATCCTATGCTTCCTCCAATCCCTGGATCACCGAAACCCTAATCGCCAAAAGGCCAGCTACGCACTCGTAACTCATCAGATGTTGGTGGCCTTCGGGCGGCGCCGATTGCTTACCATCAGGTAATTCGTCATCATGTTTGCAGAAATATCACAAAACAAAAAAATAACCTCTTGCCATAGGATGTAAAGTAAATATAAATCACATACGTTGTAAGTTTACAGGCAATATATCAACATCCGACTGCTCTATGATCGTATACTAGTGTAATAAAAAATTAACGTGACTGGAGTTTCCATACAAACTAGGCATTTCAAGTTTATTCACGGGAAGTAATGAACTCATTTCAAGGTCTATTTTCTTTCATGAGAACATTCTCCTGGCAATAATTAAAACAATAATAGAAGAATTGGCTAAATTGCTAAAATGTGGAAGAGCCATGCTTCGGCACAAATGGGTCGGCTCGACCGGAGTGATACCACAGCCTCAGAGAAAACCGGCGTGAAACTACCACAGCATTGTGTTTCGCCGTGTGAGTGATGTTACCGGAGGCCCAATCCTCCCCCTCCCCCGATCCCTCCCAATCCCTAAATTTCCGAAACCCTAATCCCTAAAAGGTCGGCAAGGCACTCGTAACTACTCCGTTGCGGCGGCGCTGATCGTGTGACACAAGAAAAAAAATTATCCTGGCGTTGTTGTGTTACGCGCTTACCAACACATTTTGCGATTCATTATGTATATATTGATATAGTTGTTTCCATAGAACTTAAAATCACATACAACTAACTGCTCGTTTGAAGCATACCTACCTATTTTGAAAAGGTGCTTAAGTTTTTAATCTTGGCATT